AAGGGTAAACTCCTGCTGATAACCAGATAATATCAAAATTATTGACTGTATAATGGATTGTATCCCCAAATATATCAGAAAAAGGAATTAAAATATGAAAAGTGGTATGTTGCAGAAGCTTCTCCTTCCTGCCTTTTTATTACCTTGAAAAATGTTAAAAGATCTCAGAAGAACAACACTTGGGAAGGTTAAGTGCTTGTCACAGAGAACCTTAATTAGTGTAGTCAGAATCCCTTCAGTTATATTTTGCAATCAGAGGAGTTACATGAATTTCCAAAACCCCTTTCTGTTTTCTAAAAAACCCCACAAAATTCAGCAAACAATCGATGAAAGATGCTGTTGGGGAAAGAGTCTGGGAAAGTGTCTGGAATCTGTAGATAGTTAAAACCCTATCACAGCCATGTTGTATGGACTGAATTATTTCATGCCCTAAACATAGGCAGCCTCTTCTGTAAAACTGAATGATGTTGCTACCTGAAGCCCATACCTGCTCTCTGTGGTATCATGGCTCTGTGTTTCTTTACAGTGCCTAACTTTAAGGGGGTCTTTGAACATTTCACGTAAGTGTAATAAAATAAACTAGGATAAATAGCTGGGATTTTTGCAGCTAAAATAATCACTAGTGCTTCATATCATGCTGAAAGACAGGATTTACTCCTGTCTATTATTTTCAAAATAACTCAGTTGAGCTTGAGCATTCTCCTCAAGATGGTGTAAACTGCATGCTCTTATTACCACACTGCCATTCATATGGCTTGCTGCTGCCTGCCTCTGTGCCCTTGGCACCCTCTGTCTCATGCTCTTGTCCTTTTAGTTGCTATGCTTTCTTCAGCTCTCCCTCTGTTTCCCTACTCTACCATTACATAAAACCTTTCCTCAGAGCAGGTTCATCTGTGGCTGAACTGTAACCCTCCTTTCACATCAATAACATCTGCAGGCAGGGGCGGGAAGTAAGAGAGTGGGTAAACCAAGCATATATTTCTTCTATCTACTGTTGCAAGGATGGAGAGGTAAAACGGATGGTCTGGGTTATTTGGCTTATTGGAAAAAAAATCAGAGAAAAGGATTTCAAAAGCACTGATCTCTTTGTCAGACAGTGAAGTGACCAAGTTTTCAAAGACTTCAGCATGTTTAATAATTAGTTTTCTTAGAAGTCTGTCCAGAGCTTACGTAATGGGAGCTCTGTTGCCTAGTAAGCTGTGTTGGAAATCTGACCCCTAGGATGGTGTTGGCTTCTCATAAATCTGGCATTTTGTCTTTAAAGGCCTTTAAAATACCATGTAAATACCTCAGTTCAGATAAGACCAAAAGCACGTGCTCCAGGCTGTCCATGCTCAGGGTGTCAGGGAAGGGGAGTTGGCTTACAGAGGAGTTTCAGTATTGAATTAGACTCATGCATCATTTATTGAACTGAGAGATTTGCTGAATTCAGTGCCCACAGTCAGCTGGGTCAGACACACTGTCTCCCAGCCTTGTATTTGTTTTCCTGTCCTTGCAGCAATAAGACACCTCCCTCTACAGCAATAGATTTGCCACATGCCCAGGGCAGGATCATCCTCTGCAGTCTATCCTGAACTAGCCCAAAGTCTCCCCTTATCCCCCAAAATCCCATCTGCAGCAGGGGCCATAAAAAATTGCCTTGGGAAGTGTGAAAACAGAGTAAGCACACAGTCTTTCTCTGTATCAGTTCTCCCAGGAATTAATTTGCAGCTGTGGGCCTTCCTGAGTTGGATTTGGTCTTCTTGTATGTTTTCTCTTCCCTTCACTTTCTCTTCCCTTAACTTCCCTTAAGGTGTTGAGTCACCCCTTGGATTCATGGAAATTTTTAGTTTTTCTGAATTCCTCTGGTAATGACTTTCACACAGCTACTCCTCTCATTTCTTTTCAACCTCCTTCTTAGTAACTTTTATGTTCTGTCCCCACAGTTTTGTATTACAGAACACTCCTTTTTATCAGTGTGAGAGCAGCCTGAGGTCAGAGGTTTCCGCTACTACACCCCAAGTTTATTTTAACAAGTCTGTAATGTGAAGAATCTCCCAAAGACCTATAAATTTTTATTATTGTTGATATCTCTGTCACTAGCAGTTACTCTGAGTCAGATTTTTACAGTTGTCCTGAGTCAGATTGTTATAGTGCACGTTGTGAGATAGGAAGAAGCAGTGCACCTGACCTTTGAGTTTCTTGTCCTCTGAAACCGCTGATGCTGCAGGCCATAAAGTACAGCTGGTTTTTCAACTATGAACTAATTGTTCTCAAGGTCAGAATAAATCTGGAATTAAAGGAACATCATGATCTGTTGACTGATATTTGCTTATTACATCTTCTAATGATTGTATTTTAGATAATATTTTTAGGGGTTTTTAAAATATAAATAATTTTATTCAACTACTATTATAATATGGTTTTGGAACAGCTGGAGTCTGGAAAAGTGAAAACCATGCAATTGTTTGATCTAGAAAACAAAAGTATAAAATTCTGGGTAGGAAAGTGGCTGCTAATGAAGTTTGAAGAAAAAATGCAGATTTGCAGCATCGTGATTACCTCAGAAAGTAATCATGAATGTTCTGAAGAAGGTAATCATGGATGTGATGGATGGCTCCACATTTGGAGGCTATAGTTAGTCTAAGACTGATCTGTTTCTAAAAAATATGGGGTTTGTTGTACAGATCCTGGGATGTGATCTGTGACATACATTGCACGGTCAGATTACATGCTTAGTGTAGACCTTCATCATGTAAAAATACCCAAACAGATTTAGAGATTTTTTCAAATTTTGTTTTGCCCCAGCTTTTCTTTTGCACCTTCTAGTCATGGTGCAGAATAAGGTGAAATAATATTTAAAACACACTTACAACATGTCTACTTCAGGTTTTCTGGTCTCCAATTCTGAGCTCAAACTGTTAAACTAGGGCTTCCAATCTGTGGATCCCCCAGCTATTGCATTTAGATACACCCATCTGGTATATTTACAACAGCAAGGAAGTACACCAGATTGTGCCTTTAGGAGCATAATCTATTACAAACTTCTAACTAAATATGCAGTTTTCTTTCTGTGGAATCATGGTGGAGTGCTGTAGGTCAACAGAATAAGATGATATTTTCTTTCTTGTTTTTAGAAAGAATAAAGAGTCAACAGAGAGAGAAAATTTAGAAGAGAAAGTTGAAGTGACACTAGAAAATGGGATTCCTTGTGAAGCACTGGATTTAAAAGCAGGCCACATTAACGGAGTCTTTGCAGCAGATGATGACCGGTTCACATCGCTATGAAATGCTGCCACTGCTCTCTGATGGTTTTCTGAAAGACTCCTGTGCCTGCCTTTTCTCATCACTACTCCTGAATGTCAAACATGAAGACAAGAAAAATGTCCTTTCACATAATTTCCCTTGAGAGAACCTTTTGCTTGGGTGAACCTCCATTACAGTTCTTATTCATGAGAAACGGAAATAAAGCGGCCTCAGATAATATCCAGAAAAGATTTCTAGAAGATGTGTGGTAGAACAGGGTTGGAACCTGCCTTGTGCCAGCCATCTCATTTTTAATGATTATTTAAATATGTCCATTGTTTGTTTTTCCCTGACATAAATGTCAAACTGCATTATTCCTGAATTTCACTGGGGAGATCATCTATCATTGTCAATTCTTGATGGGTTTTTTTTTTCAAGCCATATGCAAAACTTTCTCTGTAAAATTTCTTCTGTTTGCTGCTATGTAGTATGCCTTTAGATGGAACAGTCATCAGTGCATGAAAGTTTTCATTTATTGAGAAACAAAAAAGCTTTCACAACCTCTGTAAGACCAAGACAAAATACCTGGATCATGTATAGCTCTGGGGCTAGCAAAAATCTGGTACTAGAAGTGTTTGTCACTTAACTATCAAGGTTACAAGCTGTAACCTTGTTGTGAGCTGGAAATTAAATTTGCAAAACTCTGAAACTTGTTGAAATTAAACAATGCAACAAAGAACAGATTTTCCTTAGGTGCAGTGTTTTGTGGCCCAGCTCTCATTAAATCATAGAATCACAGGCCAGCCTGGGTTGGAAGGGATCTTAAGACCATCTCGTTCCATCCCCCTGTCATGGGCAGGGACACCTTCCACTAGACCAAGTTACTCAGACCCCCATCCAGTCCAGCCGTGAGCACTTTCAGGTATGGGGCATCCACAGCTTCTCTAATGCCTCAACAACCTCACAGTAAAGGATTTTTTCCAAATATCTAATCTAAACCTGCCCTCTTTCAGTTTGACGCCATCCCCCCTTGTCATGTCACTACATGCCCTTGTGAATAGTCTTTCACAGGTCTCTGGAAATGCCTTGCCTACAGTTTTTAATAATAAAACTAGAGTAGATTTCCAACACAGCCAGCCTGGTGTCAGATGAAAGTTCATGTGATAGGTGGACAACTTTTGAAAGGATTCAAGGTGTGAAACACCAACTGCTGAATTTGGTGCCCCTGATCTGGATAAGTGATACAATTCTGGCTGTCTTCAGAAGCTCTGGTCAACAGAAAAGGGGAGTTCTGGGTGTGGGTAAGTGTAAAAACAGAATGGAAATATGTTGAAGCAAAATACGACATCTGCAGTCACTAAAGCATCTGCACACATCACTGGAGGCAGGATTTGACCATTAACCATCCTGTTTCCAGTGTTGTGTCTAGAGGCAATATTAGAAAACATCTTTCTTTATTAGGATTATTTCATCAGACTCTTCACCAACAGGAACAGGCTTAAACAAAGTAAAAGGTGCTTGTAAAGGACCATCTAGTGTCCTGAAGGGTACCAAAGTTTCTTGTTTCCCAGGGTGGAAATCCTTCAGGCTTTTGGCTGTATTGAGCACCTTTGACTTGTCTAAGTACTGGCTCTTAGGACCAGTGTCAGCAGAAAGGGAGGAATGGGAAGGAGAAGGGAAAGCAGCAAGGGTGAAAGGGAAAAGCTGAGCAAGATTAGGGGAGGCAGGAGAGAGGAGAGCAAAATACAAAATAAAACCATGGAACCCACTAATCATTTGCATAATGTGGTCTCATTTGTCACAGTTGTCTTTGATGTCCTGCTGGTGGGTCCCTCTGGACAGGGACTGCATCATCTCTGTGTCCCAGTGTGTGCTGCTCCATTCTGAAAAGGATTAATAAAATTGGTTATATAATATTATATATATATATATATAATATCTCAGTGTTTCAAAATTACCATCCACAACATGTGGATGTATTTCTCACAGGAATGTTGAAGATGAAGCTTGCCAGTGTTGGAAGGGAAATATAGAGTACAGTGTTACTGTTACTCCCTCAGTTGTTGCTCCAAGGTCTCTCATGCGAAGTTTTATTGAAGTAATTCAGATCCCATAATTTCTAAACATTCACACTTTTCCATTCTTTGCATGACAGATAGCTACACCTCAGTGTGACCACAATGGACTGATTGCTGTGTCTGCAGCACCTCTGCAAGAACCTGTAAAAGATTTTGGTGAGAACAGCTTAGTAGTGCAAGAGCAACCTCAAGCTACAGATTAAGAATTGCTGTTTTCCTGTACTGTACTATATGATACTGAAATAAAATTCTCTTGAAATGAAAAAGGGCCAAGCTTATCTGAGCCTACTTCTCAATGCCTGAGTGAAGGTTCAGTTGAGCCCATGGCACTGGCCACCAATTTTAAAACAGATTGAAATCATCTGAACATGACATTATGCAATGTGGGCTGTGGTGGTAAGTATTTAATCACTGTCTTCCTGACAGCTCACCTTTTACAGCAGTTTGGCTTAATTTTCTGCTAATGATGATATGGGAATCACCCAGAGCATACATCTAGCTTGCCTCTCTGCTGACAGAAAATGGTTGGAGAGAAGCAAGTGATACATGAGCAGCCATATACTACATTTAGCAACATTTTGAAGGCAGTGTATGTATTATCTCTTTCACTGAAATAGGTACTACAAATGAGGTTAATCAAGGTCACAATGCTACAGAAGAAATAAATCTCTTTTCTAGTCTGTGCAGTAGGTTCTTATTAGAAAACAAAGGATATGTTGATTTGGTACAGTCTGTCCTCCAGAGCCTGTAAATGGTACAACAACAATTTATATCCCTTGAGGATCTGCCCACATGTTTTATGTAACTTCCACTTTTTTCTTTTTCTCTAAAGCACCTGCATCCAACCTGTGATAATAGACAGGAAAGTGAGTAACAAGGATTATAGACTATATGGTGAACTGCTTCCCAAAACAATGAGTTGGTTCTGATTTCAGTAACATTTTTACTGTGCCAATGAATCTTGAAAAAAAAGGTACATGGTGTGCCCAAGACTGAATTGTTTCAAGAGCTGTATTTAAGAAAAGAGAAGAAAAAGGAAAATTCAATTAAATGAAACAATAAACCCAGAGAAGTTCTGTGTGAAGAGAATCTGCAGTGTTTATCACTAGCTCCACATCCCTGGCAAGTCGACATTTCAGAAAGGACTTTCACAATTCTGTTCAGCTTACTTGAGAGAGAGCATTGATGCTTACACTAGAATGAGCACAAATCATGCACGAGTAAGTTGTTTACACTGTCAGTCATTAGCCAGACATTTGGAGTGCTGAAGAACATTGGTATAAAGCGTCTGTCTGTGGTACTCAGCCCTAAACATCTCTATCAGCCCACCTTGCATCCTGGTACTCACAACTGGACCCGGTATTCCCCTGGGGCCCAGCCAGTGCTGGAGAGCCTGCAGGGATGAGCTCACGGGCCTCATGCACACTATATGCTCCTGTTTGTCCAGGTACAACATTTGCTTCTGTCATACCAATCTTCATGGACAACTCTTTCCTGGCTGAGCCTTCATAAAGTAGCACCTTTATTCTACATCTTGAGGGAAGTCAGTCCATTGTTTCTGCTGTTATTCACAAAAGAGATGCGTGTAATGGGCTCAAGAAGTCTCAGGGCAGGAGTCAAGTCCTGTTCCTTCATCACTGTGAGTACGATATAATTCCCAAATTAATACAAATCACAGTATTAGCACAAGAGCTTTTGGTTTGATAATTTCTTTCAAGAACTGGATGCCAGTTTTGACCAACCAAGGAGACATCACATCTTGACAGAGTTTTTCATGTGTAAACTCCCACATTTGGGAAAACAAAAGAAATTACTTTTGAGGTCAGGGAAGAAGTGATCAGTTTTGACCAACCAAGGAGACTTATCACATCTTGACAGAAAGAGTTTTTCATGTGTAAGCTCCCACATTTGGGAAAACAAAAGAAATTACTTTTGAGGTCAGGGAAGAAGTGAAACAAAGGCATGAAACAACTCAGTGAAAAGTGGGAGTTTTTGATTCTAGATACTCTTGAAACATGTCTCAGATGCCCCAGAAATTTGGTCAGTTCATGAGTGCAGTAACCTGTGACTCATGAAATAAGCTGCTTTAAATATGCCAGGTTTTTATAGAAAATGCATTGACCAACTGTCCACAGTCCATTAGCAATGAACAATCTGTGCTTGGCTTTTTATGAGCAGCTCCTTTTGGCCTCTCATAGTTTTTGTTTCCTTTCAATGTGGCATGCAAGAAGAGAGGTGTGCAATGGAGTGACACCACAGCTTCCTACACAAACAGACAATTGCTAATGAAAAATTTGCACAGTTAGATATGCCTAATTTGATGGACTGAACTTCCTATTTTTCAAACTACATTAAACTAAAGTACATTGACAGTGATGAGTAGTTCTCTCTTGCTAGCACAAATGTATCAGTATGTTCAGTTTTGTGAATACATTAAGCACTGTGGATGCACTTTGCATGAAAGCCTTGTGTTTTAACTGGATATTTTGTGTCTGCATTGATGTTTGCATCAGTCCAGAGTAATTTTGCCCTTATAGCCCAGATCCAGCTTTGTTCTGAGCAAAGTAAACAGCTTTGTTTACTCTGATAGGAACTGAATTTGATCTAAGATCAAAAAGTAAAATTTGATTTTTGTTAGTCTGTCCTCTTCCTTCCTACCATGTTTCCCTTTGCCTTAGAGGTGGCAATTTGAAGCTGTCAAAGCATCTTGCTAGCTACAGCAATGACTAAATGGAAAGCATTTAATTTTGGAAAAACTGCAAGAGTGTTCTTGCATTATTTCTCTATCACCTTTGCTTTTCTCCTATAATGTGAATTAAAATTACTACAAATGACAGTATGTAGCTTTTATCAGTTGTGGACCAACAGGAATTTTAGACTTTGGACTAACATTCTTGATGATATTGTATCTAAACAACTTTGCAGGTGCTGATGTGCGAGCACATGGTCACTGTAAAATGAACTGGGACCACTTGCTTAGTAAAACTGAAGTGAGAAACACATGTGACCTGGATGCAAAGCCATGTTTCAGAAGATCAATACCTTACCTTCATTGTTGGGGCAAGGTGGATTTTTTTTGTAAAGGGCAAGGTGTAAGGGATGCAGAATGTTGTGCACCTGAGTAGTTGCCTCTCCTCTGCCTTTATAGTATATGGTTTTGATTTTTATCCTTCAAAGTAACACTTTATGCTATCCTGATTTAACCTGCCAGTTTGTACACTTATCTTCCTAAAAATCATTCAGCTTCCAAGCTTTCTCCTAAACTTTGCAAAAACACTTTGGTTTCCTGCTGCTTCAGGGAACTGACAGCATCTTTGCACAGCTCCAGATGTCCTCAGATCTGAGGCTGGCCCCCGTGCACTGGGCACTGTCCCCTTGGCAATGCTGAGCACTCTCTGACTTGGGAAACAGCCATCAGCCTGTGGCAACCTGGGAGTCCAATGGAGCTGTGTGGAGGTGACAGCTGTTTTAGGTCTGAAAAATAAAAGCAGGGAGCAAATGGGACAGGAGGTTACGGAGAGGTGTGGATTAGTTGTCCAAGGCATTGGTCCCAGGCTCGGAGCAGTGGGGTACAAAGCCCTCTGTGCTCCGGGAGGTCACTGGGCGGTGGCTGGCAGTGGAACCAGCTGCGGGAGGTGGGTGCTCTGCAGGAATCAGCCTCCCCTCGCTTCCTCCCCTCGCAGACAGGTCCTGAGCGTGGTGCAGCTGGTGGGGAGTCTCTGTGCTCTGCACTTGCTGCCTTTACCTCCACTGCTGCTGGGCAACAGGGAATTCATCCGGCCAGCCACTCATCTGCCCTTTCTCATTCCTGCAGAGGACGAGCCAGCTAAGCCCAGACTGCTGATGTTCGAGCTGGGGCTTGGTGCTGGTACGTGCCCTTGGTGGCCCGGATGGAGCTGGACAGGCGGTGCGTGCCTGCAGAGGAGGAATGTCCCCCCTCCGTGTCACACAGCTCGGGGCCCCCCAGGAGAGCGGACACGAGGATCTCATGAAAGCCTCTTCTTGCAGACAGGGATGTGTCCCAGCTCGGGCAAAGCCCCTGTGGCATGGGCTGAAGCTCGCAGCTGGGGAGCTGGGGAGCCCAGGAGACAGGGAGCCGGGGGGCCAGGGAACCAGGGAGCCGGGGAGACAGGGAGCCGAGAAGCCAGGGAGCCGGGGAGCCGAGGAGCCAGGGAGCCGGGGAGCCCGGGAGCCAGCATCCCAGTGCCAGCACTTTCATCTGAGAAAAGGCGGATGGCACGCATGCAGAAGAGTTAGTCATGTGGGAAGAAGGCTGCTCAGGGGATTAAAAGGACTATTTTCCCAGCCCCCGTTCGAAGCACGAGGAAGAGGAGAGGATGGGGGATTGTCCCCCAGCGATGCCCGGGTGCAGCCGAGGCAGCACGGCTCCTCGCCAGGCGCTGCTGCAGGGACACGTGCGGAGGGGCTGAAGCCACCCCTGGGCTGTTCACTGCCTCCACAAAGCCACTTTACAGGAGACCTCAGAGCAAGGATTTGCCAGGTATTCCACTGAAGCCAGCTGCTCTTTGGCAAAGGGCAGAGGAGTGGCCGAGTGGGGCGGCCGCGGTCTTGTGCAGGCGGTGAGGTGGCCCTGCCAGGGCAGCTCGGTGTCCCTGGGGATGCTCCAGGACAGGCAGTCCTGGCACCGTGCAGCCACAGCCTTTCAGAGCCCTTCTTCACAAAGTGGCCACGGAGTAACGCTTCTGTCCGTCTTTTATGCACTAGGCAGAATGACAAAGTGTAGCAGAGAGCTTAAACAGTGCTCTTGTGTGGAAAAATTGTCCTGATAATGGTATTTAAAGCCA